TGCTTTTTATTTGGACATTGAAGTTTGAAGGGAGAGAAAAACTTTTCATTGTATGCCTTTTTATACCTTTAATTTTTGAAAAATATAAATAAATAATCAATTCAAAATATTGTATAAATATTTTTAAAACTGCATATGCCCTGGCTAGTATGTTCAGTGGTTAGAGCATTGTCTCATGTACTAAAGGGTCTCGGGTTCAATTACCAGATAGGGCACATACCCAGGTTGCAGATTTGATCCCCAATTAGTGTGTGTGTGAGGCACCGATCAATGTTTCTCTCTCACATTGACATTTCTTTCTCTTTGTCTCTCCCTCTCCCTTCCTCTGTCTCTAGAATCAATAAAAAACATATCCTCAGGTGAGGATTTAAAAAAACTGCATATGAGGGATTATAGAAACTTTATTTATAAACATTGCCAAGACTTGGTAGCAGCCAAGACGGCTTCATTAGCTGAATGAATAAATAAACCGTGGCATACCAAGACAATGGACTATTATTCAGTGCTAAAAAGAAATGAGCTACTAAGACATGGAGGAACCTTAGATGCATATTACTAAGGGAAAGAAGCCAATCTGAAAAGGCTGCCTACTGTGTGATTCCAACTATATAGCGTTTTGGAAAAGACGTAACTGTGGCGACTGTAAAAAGGTCAGTGGTTGCCAGGGGTTCGGGGTAGGGAGGGATTAGGCAGAGCACAGAGGATTTTTAGGACTTTTGCATGGTACCATAATATATCTGCATGGCAGATATATGTCACTGCACATTCACCAAAACCCATAAAATGTACAATACCAAGTGTGATATTTTAATGTAAATTATGGACATTGGGTGACTACAATGTGTCAATGTAGGTTCATCAGTGGTAATAAATGTCCCTGCCACTCCGGTGGGAGATGTTGATAATAGATGCGGCTATGCACGTATGAGGGCAGGAATACAGTATATGGGAACTCTCTGTATCTTCCTCTCAATTTTGCTGTGAACCTAAAACTGCCCTAAATATAGTCTATTTGAAAGAAAAACAAAAACAAAACACTAGTGAGTTACATTTACACTATCATTAAAGGGCCCTACATTCTGAAGTGATTCATGGTCATTCTGTGGTCTGACATTGTGATTTAATGTATGTGGGCTGTGGTATATTATTTTTGGTGCTATGAGTGTATAGGTGCATACATCCATTAGCGCGTGTGCGCGCACGCACACACACACACACACACACACACACATTTCCTGTTAGAAACCACTGTTCTATTCTGTCACCTGTTAGTTGGGCTCAGGCCTGCTGTAGATCTAGCTCGCCCTGTAGCCTGGCAACAGTCTTCGGGTGCAAGTGCCCGTGCTCCTTTCTGGCACTTGGGACAGACAGTAGACCCTCACACCCAAGAATGTGGGCTCTGGCGTGAGCCTGTCTAGGCTGGAATTTTGGACACATCTAATTCCTAGCTGTGTGACCTTAAGCTTTTGTTTTCTTATCCCTATCATGGGTATAACAGCAGTTCCTATAATGTAGAGTGTTCATGAGGGTCAAATGAAACAATACACGTGGAGCATTTAGTAGTGATTGGCACCTACTAAAACTATGTTGTGTTGTTATTACTATTTTATTATCATCATTATAATCATTATCTGCCATGCCTAATCTCTGCTGATTTCTCTGGGTGAATTAGTTTGCCTGTTTGGAACACGGAGAAGATTCAGAAAGCCTCACTTAGGAACTCAGGCCTGAGTCTTCTTGGTTCCTCCTGATATTGTCTATTGGAGTACAGGTTTGGAGTCCTGGCTTAAAACACCTTAAAATGATATCGTCATTGCAATCTGTCCAGTTGATAAAGAGACTGGTCTCATTGGTCTTACTAAATCAAGGAAGACCTGGGCACAGGAGAAGAGATTTGCCATAATGAATAGTGGGTCTAAAGAGAAAATGGATTTCAGGCTCCCGAGGGCTCTCTGCCGTGCTCTGCACCTGCGTCATGGTGGCACCTTCGAAGTGTATCAAGCAATGCACCAACTCTTGCAGCACTGACAGTAATTCATTAATTCTGGCATCTGTCTACTCCCAGCCAAAGAGAAATTGATTCTGTAATTATCACCATAATGACATATCTCTTATTTTAACATGCACATAACCTTTATTTTATCCATGTAGGAGGAAAATGAGGAACCCTCTATCTTTCAACCCCTCAAAGTCCCAGCATAATAGATTAGAGATGCTGATTTGTTCTAATTGTTTTTTTGCTTGTTTGTTTGATTTTTTAGCATAATTTTTGGAATCTTTATGGAGTGAGGAGGTATCTTAGTCCATTCAAATTGCTTAATGATATACCATAGACTGGGCAGCTTAAAAAACAGAAACTTGATTCTCACATTCTGAAGGTGGGAAGTCTGATATCAAGGTGCCAGCATGCTTGGGTGAGGATGCTCTTCCTCATTCATAGCTGGGCCTTCTGGCTGTCCTCACCTGGTTGAAGGAGCTAGAAAGCTCTGTAAGGTCTTGTATAAGAACACTAACCCAAGTCATGAGGGTTCAATCCTCTCGACCTAAGCACTTCCCAAAGGCCTCGCCTCCAAACATCACTATCTTTGGGGGTTAGAATTTCAACATATAAATATGTCAGGGTGTGGGAGACCACAAACATTCAGACCATAGCAGGAGGAAACTATCATTTAATAACAATTATTACATTAATATATGAAAAGTGGTTAGAAAAATGCCTGGCATATTAAAAGTGTTATATAAATTTTACTGTTTTCATTGTTAGGTAGTAACAATCCATGCTCACTTTGGCTGTTTGTTTCACAACACATAGGAAAAGCACTGTCCTGTTTTAAGAGATAGGGTCAAGAAACACGCCCCCATCTGAGACCTGTGGCAGACATCACTAGGTAACCATGGCACCCTCCTGTGTACGTCCAAAGCTGTCTTACAAACCTCATGCTATTCCTCCTGGCAGCCAGCACCAAGCAGTTGGCACTGGCACCTGAGAAAAACATCTTCCACCCTAGCTTAGGAGTTAAGCTCTAAACAGACTTCCGGAACTCCAGTGCTCCCGGTGACAAAGATGTGGTGGAATCAAGTTATTCTAAGTATGCTCAAGGCTTCCCCGTTCAAGGCCAGAGTGAAACCAAGGCCAAACCTCTCTGGCCACCTCCACGCCCGTGCACATTTTTGATTGACCTCTTCACACTTTGAGATTCTTGATTTTTGGCAGATTTTTGCTGAATGTCTGTTCGGTCTGACATTTGCTGAATGTAAGGAGGTCTGAATTTTCCCCAAGTGTTTAGAAGTAGCCCTTTTTCTGAAGCAAAGATTTGGTTCTAAATGAAAGGACACCGGTGTGGTTTTGTGGTATGGGTTCCTGGTACGTCAAATAAGAGAAACCCTCAATTACATGCAGAAATAATGGCTTAAAAGCTCCAAAGCCTTAAATGTACTTTGAGCAGTGTATTTTACTTCATTACAAGGTAAAAACTTATTCTTCTGGTTCTATACTTTATGAAGAACAAAAACATATGTTCAACGAAACTTACTTCTTGTCCCTGCAAGCCAGCTCTGAACCTATTTTAGCCCTTCATTTGGCTAAATGAATGCCGAATATAACTTCTAATTTATTTATTTTTTAGTCCAGTCACAGGACTAAACTTTCTTGTTTTTTTAACTTTCTCATCTGTAGTATTAATATCCAACCTCAATCTAACCAACATTTATGGGCATCACAGAAATTTAAACATATTTCTAAGATATTTTGCCTAAATAAAATTTCATAAAAGGGCTGAATAAACACACACACACACACACACACACACACACACACACACACACACGTATATTTTAAAGAATGTTTTTTGTTTTATATTTTCAAATTCCTCAGCCTAGAGTAAGGGCACATTAAGGAAGTAATGTCCCAGTTCATAGTGACTGCATATTGCAACTGCTTGATTCCAGTTAGAATATTTCTCCTTCTTGTTATAGTCGCTTCTGTGACTGTCGCTCAGTTGGACTATAGGTTTCAGGAGCTGTCTTGAAACTGGGAGGATTGGTTAATTGTTGGTGTGACAGATGAATGAAGATGACCCAGGAAATTCTAAGGACCCAGCTTCTCTCAGCAACGTTCCAGATTCGCTAAAGCCTCTCTGGCCCTTATGGAAGGTGCATCTTAGAACCCATATATTAGGAGCCCCCACCTCGCAGGGCCCTTCTGCACTGGTCCTTCCTCCCCAGGAGCAGGTGTTGACAGTGGAGTCTGCTGATGCCCTCAGATGTGAAAGAAGTTTTAAGCATCCTTTCCACATTTTTGTACATGGTGAACTGATGAAAGGATCAGAACTCTTATTTTCAGAATGTATTTTTCCTCTGATAGTTTAACAAAATACTCCATGTATAGAATTTGTGTAACAGATCCTTTTCATAGTTTCTGATCCCAGGGTTCCAAGGGACTTTTCTCTCCTAAAGGATCTTGGTTCCTATGAGCAGTGTACTTCCTGTGGGTGTATCTGTGCCCCAGCCTCAGACACTGTGGGCAGATAGAGATTTTTCCTACCTTGAGTCTTTTGTTTTGTGTTTTTAAAAGAGTATCCAGCCCTGGTCGATTTGGCTCAGTAGTTTGAGCATCGGCTTGTGGACCAGAGAGTCCCGGGTTCGGTTCCTACAGGGGCATGTACCAAAATAATAATAATAATAATAATAATAATAATAATAATAATAGAGTATCCAAAATAGGTTTTGTACTATGCCACTTTGCTGTTGATGTAGTTATGTGTGTTGTTGATATCATACAAGATAACAGCAATGCTTCTCTCTCTCTTTTTCTTTTTTTTGGCCAAACAAGGCTATAAATTATATGAAGAATTCGACAAAGACAGTAGGTCCATGAGTGAGCCTGTTTGAATTGAATTGGTATTTGTACACGGTGACACCCTCTTTCACACACCCGCCTCCTCCCTGAATGACTCAGCCACTGAGGGAGAAGCCTCTGCACTGCTCATTAGCACGGTCAGGCAGCAGTGGAACTACACTCGGTAAACTCCAGGTACACACACGGTTCAGCGGGATCCAGCTGGGGAATCACTGCAGGCTGTTTACTCAACCAGTCCTAGTTTCCTGCTTAAGAGGTAAGTTGAATTATGTTGGCTAACATACACACGTCTTCTTAATTTGCGTAACTTTCTGTGTTTTCTAAGAAAATTATTAAAATGCGAACTTACTGTATTAACTTTGTCTTTTTTCCAGTTACGTTTTGACAGCTTCCAATGGGCTGTTCTGCTTGCCGGCAGCTCGTTGTTCTTGTTGTGATTTAGATCTTGTTGCTTCGACCTTCCTGGCAATGGCACACATCTGCAGGCATCGCAGAAATGCGAACACTTTGAGTTTCTGCGTGGGGCTGTCAGCTAGTGAGTCTTCTCAGGCACAGGGTGGTGAAGTCTTTAAGTCAAGCGACTGGCACCCCCTGGTCTATTTTCTGAACTGACTATAAAACCATTGTTTAAATGGCTCTCCCTGTTTTCACAGGTGATGCTTTTAGTGAAATGCTGAACCCGATTGTTGTATAGATAATGTTATATTTGTTTTGTGTTTGTTTTTACTGCTAAAAACATTACAAGCCACTGAGCTGTGAGAGAGGTACTGAACCCACTCCCCGTGAAGGAAATCACATATTTTGCATTAAAGTACCGAGGAGTGAGCAGGGTGGGGTGAAACGGAGTGGGTGGCTTCACAGGGATTCGTGTGCACTTGGCCTGCTTCTCGGTTATCCCGAAGCTCTAACCTGAGAATCGAATCATGTGTATGGGGCCAATTTTCAATTTCTAGTCATATTCTAGTCTTGAAAAACCAGTTTTGGAAGCCCTTTGATAAGAATAGAAAAGTTACTGCGGTCAGATTTTTCCTTTCTAAATAATAGGTAAATTGACTTGTTGGACTTGTGTTTTTTTTCCTCCACCATTTCCATTTGTGATACAGAACTGCAGGGGTCAAATGCGGGGCCCCTTGAAATGCGCAGCCAGCAGCATTATGTCCTTCAGGGGGCGTTTCCCACACTGTCACCAGGCTCTCCCCAGTGCTGGGTTTTCTCTGCTTCCCTTGCTGGCCAGGCGATGTGCTGTCTCGGGGCATTAGAGCTTGATTCCTGGAGGTTTAGTGAAGAATTTTGTAACTTTGCTTTCATACATTTATAATAATCAGAGAGCAAACGTTTAATGTTTGTGAATTATCATTTTACATTTCATGGATTGTGATTGAATTTAAAACTGGCTTTCATGTCCAGGTTATAAGGCAGATATAGTCTTTCAGATATTTTCTGTACTCCAGTGTTTAAAATATTGGAGAAAACTGAGATATGACATCAGTAAAAATTTCACTAAATCATTTGGTTGATTCTAAATGTCAGGATAGAGAATGTAGATAAACTGGCCAGGAATTTTATTACAATTTTAGCTTCAGGTAAATCTGAGATCCAATTGGCATAAGTTTCTGTTGGAAAAGGCATATAGGCTCATCCAGAATAATTCATGAATTTTCTAGATGAGGACAACAAAACATAAATGTTAAGCAACTTGCCAAGATCAGAGTAACAGGCCTAAATGAAAAGTCAGATCACCTGACTTTTTTGTCTTACTAAATTTCCTCGATGATTTTTCAAATTCCTTTCACATTAAATATGTAGTAGCAATAACTGAGCACATTCTTCTGCTTTATAAGTGGACTACAAATGATATGAAAGTGAGAATTTTCTTACCCAGTGATACTTAAAAATGTATTACATGTGTATGGAATATGGTATAACCATATGGCATATATTTTTAATTTGTGGCTTATGACGTCAATCTTGTTATTTATTTTATTCATAGGGTTTAATCTCAGGAACTGTTAGCCCCTCTGTAGGAAGGTAATATGAGTGGAGGTGTGGTACATCCAATCATGGACATGCTCACCTCAACTACTTACCTACTCCGTAGGTGCAGATTGCCTGCCTGGCTATCTTCTCCAACCACTGGAATTTGTAAAAAGTTACCTTTTGAATCTTCACCCATTTCTCCCACCCACCACCTTTGCTTCTGACAACCACTTTTCTCTGTATCTATAAGTTTTTGTTTTTTTAAAAAATGATGTCATACAGTACTTGCTTTCTCTGTCTAACTTACCTAAACTAGCATAATGTACTCAAGGTCCATCCATGTTGTTGCAAATGGCATGACATCCCCCTTTCTCATGGTTTAATAATTTTCATCTATCTATCTATCTATCTATCTATCTATCTATCTATCATCTATCTATCTATCCATCCACATCATTTTTATCCATTAGTTTGTTCATGGATGTGTAGGTTTTTCCATGTCGTGGCTATTGTGAATAGAGCTGTAATAAAACATGGGAGTGCATATATTTCGTACATAATCCTATTTTCGTTTCTTTTGGGTATATACCCAGAAGTGGAATTGCTGGATTCTATGGTAGATCTATTTTTAAATTTTTCGGGAGCCTCCATATTGTTTTCCATAGCCATTGGACCAATTTACGTTCTCACCAACAGTGTACAAGGGTTCCCTTTTACCGCATCCTCACCAGTACCTGTTGTTTCTTGCATTTTTGATAATAGCCATTCTAACAAGTGTAAGGTGATATTTCATTGTGGTTTTGATTTGCATTTCTCTGATGATTAGGAATATTAAACATCTCTTTATCTATCTGTTGGCCATCTGTATGCCTTTGGAAAAGTGTTTATTCAGACCTTCTGCTTATTTTATAATCATTTTTTTTTTTTGCTATTCATTTGTACGAGTTCTTTATATATTTTGGATATCACACACTTATCAGATATATGATTTGCAAATATTTTCTCCCACAAAGTAGGGTGCCTTTTTATTTTGTTGATGGTTTTCTTTGCTATGCAGAAATATTTTAGCTTAATGTAATCCCACTTGTTTATTTTTGCTTTTCATATCAGATTCAAACAATCGTCTCTAACAACTAAGTCAAGGAGTTTACTGCCTATGTTTTCTCCTAGAGTTTTATGGTTTCAAATCTTTGATCCATTTTGAGTTCATTATTGTCAATGATATAAGAAAGTCGTCTTGTTTCATTCTTTTGCTGTCCAGTTTTCCCAACACCATTTATGGAAGAGACCACCTTTCCCCATTGTATATCTTGGACTTTTTGTCATAAATCAGTGGATTGTTTATGCATCAGTTTATTTCTGGATTCTCTATTCTGCTCCAAGATTTAAGTGTCTGTTTTTATGCCAATATTATACTATTTACATAATGATTGCTATAGCTTTACAATATAGTTTGAAATCAGGGAGTGTGATGCCTCTTGCTTTATTCTTCTTTCTCAAGATTATTTCGGCTATTTGAGGATTGTTGTGGTACCATTCCAATTTTAGGATTTTTGGTTCTATTTCTTTGAAAAATGCCATTGGAATATTGATAGAGATTGTATTGAATGTATAGATTGCTTTGGGTAGTATGGACATTTTAACAATAGTGATTCTTTCAGTTCATGAGCACAAATATCTGTTCATTTATTTGTGTCTTTTTCAATCTCTTTTATTAATGTCTTACAGTTTTCAATATACACGTTTTTCATCTCCTTCTTTAAATTTATTCCAAGACATTTTATTCTTTTTGATGTAATTATAAACCAGATTGTTTTCTTTATTTCTCATTTTGATAGTTCATTATTAGTATATAGACGAGCAACAAATTTGTGTGTATTGATTTTGTACCCTGCAACTTTACTGAATTTATTAGTTCTAACCATTTTTTGATGAAGTCTTTAGGATTTTCAATATATACTATCATGTCCTCTACAAATAGTGTCAGTTTTACTTCTTTCTTTCCAATTTGGATGACTTTTATTTATTTTTCTTGCCTAATTGCTGTGGCTAGGACTTCCAATACTATATTGAATAAAAGTGGTGGGAATGGGCATCCTTGTCTTGCTCCTGATTGTAGGGGAAAGGCTTTCAGTTTTTCACTTTTGGGTATGCCATAAGTTATTAGCTTGTCATATATATCCCTTATTATGTTAAGGTACACTCCTTCTGTACCCACTTTGTTGAGAGTTTTTATCACACATGGATGTTGAATTTTGTCAAATGCTTTTTCTGAATCTATTGAGATAATCACATGATTTGTATCTTTCATTTTGTTAATATGGCATATCACATCAACTGATTTGCAAATGTTGGACCATTCTTGCATCCCTAGAATAAATAATATTTGATCATGATATATGATCCTTTTATGTGTTGTTGATTTTGGTTTACTAATTATTTTATTGAGGATTTTTGCAGTTATGTCTTCAGGGACAGGGTTATTTATTTGTAATTTTAATTTTTTGTAGTGTCCTTGTCTGGTTTTAGTATCAGGGTAATGCTGGTCTGATAAAATGAATTTGAAAGAGTCCCTTCCTCTTATGTTTTAAAGGAGTTTGAGAAGAATTGATATTAATTCTTCTTTGAATGTTTGGTAGAATTTATCAGCAAAGCCTTCTGGTCCTGGAGTTTTGTTTGTTGGTAGGTTTTTTATTAACCACAGCAATTTTGACTGAAATACCTGAGAGATTTATTTTTCTGGTGACTTTGTAAACAAAACAAAGAGGATATGCTTTGAATGACCGAATTCATACTGAGGAATGAACTGCATAAAACCATATAATTCACGAAGCACTTAACTTAAGCAAACATGATTTAACTGATAATATCGCATATGATTTAGCCATTAACTGGAAACATTAGTTAAGAAGGAAGTCCAAGGAAGATCTTTATTGGTTTCACACAGCTTATCTGCAGATATTTTCCTGCTTCTAGGCCATTTGTTGATTTTTTTTTTTCTTTTGCTGAGAACTTTGAAATAAGGGCTTTATGTATTAATTGCTGTGTACCTGTCTGCAATTGCTCAAAGTTCACTTTTTAATCAAAAGTCTTTACCAAATATATTCAAGTGTTTTTAGTTTACTGTTGTAAAAATCCATATGATTTTAGAATTTAGGAAAGATATTTTCTCAAATGGATGCTTTGTCAAATGGCAACTACATTTATTAGGTTTTCATTTTATGTTAGTTGCTAAACTGTTTAGAAACATAAATCATACTTTCATTGTAATCAGTAATT